CAGAAGATAATTCAGCTGAAGAGAACAGAAAGGAAATCAGAGATGAATCATATTAATAACAGGATTTGTAGAATCATGAGGCATGTTCAGGACAACTGAAGGAAGATGTGTAAATAATGTATTTAATGTATGGCTTTCATATTTTTCCAAAGTACGCTGTAATTTAGAATTAAACAATAAATTGGTTTACCACAACTAAGTTCTCGTTTAGTACACTACTACCACCACTAATACTACTGATAATAATATTAGTGATAGTGATTAATACTGTATTTTAGTTTTCACCATCTATATTGAATAACTTGTAAATTGAGTAGATAATATGCACTTTTAAATACTTAGACAAATGATTTTTTTTTCAAGTCGTTATTTGTCTATATGAGTCTATTGATCAACCGTTTTTTTTACTATGAAAACATTGATAAATATTTGTATTATGATTGACATGGATGTTGATATGTTTATCGGGTTTTCCGTTCTTTTGCATACTATTATTATTATTATTATCACTATCAAAGATCCACCAACTGACTGAATAACAGTAATAAGAATATAATGTTTATTTTGTAAATAATATAAACTTATGTTACTTTTGTAATACTAGATAAAGTCAATCATTCTAATAATATAAACCAACCTTTCAAAATTATTATTATTATGACAATGGTGATAACATGGCATATTAAATTGTATACAACAAACAAAGTCTGATGATTATTTACACATTAGTGTTGTTTTATTAAATCATTTCCAAACATCATTTTAAATAGTAAATAATATTGATAGAAGAAAAAATAGTAAATAAAAAAGAAATGAGTCCTTTTCCTTAAAAACAAAAACAAAAAAAAACTTTGATACGGTTGAACAATTCAGTTGACTTCAATCAATATTAAGTAGTATTGTGTCAATCAATCCATGTAAGTTTAGATCGAGTATAATAGACATTATGTATATATATATATATATATATACATTCTATTGAAGGAAACTATGTAAATTTTAAACACTTTAGTGATTGTAATGAAAGAAAAAGAAAAAAAACAAACTCAGCTATACGGGTTAATTCAGTGTTAATTCCATTATTAACCATGGATAGAATGATACAAATTATGATTGTGTGGTTTTTACTTGTGTAAATTCTTTAAAGTTATGTATCAGATATTCTATTTAACCAGTATACATATTCATAAATGACTCATAATAATTGTTACCATTAATAATAATAAAAAAAGTGTTCTTTAAGTGAAATTAAAAATAAAACTGTCATAAAAAGTGATCGATGTATAGACGAAGATAATGTATGTTATGTGATTGTATTAAATCGATGTGAAGTTATAAATATAGATGTTGACATTTATCGATGTAATAAATTTACCAGATTGAAATCATGAGTCGATTGAAGCTAGACCACCATGGAAAACCTGGAAGCACTGGACGACCGTTTCGTCCTAGTGTGGGACCCCTCAGCAGTGCGCATCCACGATCCTGCACCACGCGGGGCTCGAACCCAGGACCTACTGGCTTCGCGCGCGAGCACCTAGCCACTAGACCACTGAACCGCCATCCAACGGTGTTAATGTCTAACTTCAACCAATCCACGAAGTGGTCTAGTGGTTAATTGCTCGCGTGCGAAGCCAGTAGGTCCTGGGTTCGAGCCCCGCGTGGTGCAGGATCGTGGATGCGCACTGCTGAGGAGTCCCATACTAGGACGAAACGGCCGTCCAGTGCTTCCAGGTTTTCCATGGTGGTCTAGCTTCAATCGACTCATGATTTCAACCTGTGAAATTTCTAAAACTCTCCACAAAACCCATTCTGGTAATAAATTTAATCTTGAATATAATTTATACTTCCTATGAGATTTGAACCTACATTACCTAGTATAATAGTTAGAGATGTTATTTATTGAACTCTTTGATCTTGTAAGATTAAAATGTTAGTATTAATTAATCACTGTGGATATAACAAACTTCATTCTTGTTTACGTTATATTTACAGTTGGTGAAACAAGATAAAAATATACTTCAAGTATCTATTTCGTAGATTAGCTGTAGACAATACACAAGTGTCTTATGTTTACTGGAGGTTAATGTATGGCTAAATATGTAATTAGTAAACCCTTCTTTTTAAGATATCAGGTAATTTAACTTAAAATCTTACTGGGGGATAGGAAATACATCTTACTGATAAGTTTCACGTTCAATAAGATTCGATAACTATTCAAAACTAGGTAAGTATCACCTTGGTAACCATACAGTGATCAATCAGTATAGTTGATTCTTCGTATAAATAACTTTAAAATAATCATTAAACAACATATTTAAAAGTAAGGAATTTAGATTATTAGATTTTATTGAATAACGGTTTAGTTTAAAACATTTGATATCGTTTAAAGAGAAGTAATGAAAATTCACGATGTAAATAATATTATTTTTCGTTTTGCTTTAAACTTCTACAGTTTTAATACCACAAACCTACAATGTATGTGAATTTAAGAGTGATCATTATCATTTAACAGTAATATGGTAAATTATTCATACTTTATTACAGAAAGTGCATTCCAATGACTTCTTGTGAATAGTTTATTAGTAAAACATAGACCGAGTGACTTGAATGGTACTTTCAATGTACGACGTGACTCTGACTTAGACAACAAATCTTATGAACATTTTCTTCATAGAAAAAAAATGGTTCTCTAAACTTTAAAGAAGCACAACTTCACATAATAACTCGCAATAACTAACTTTAGATTTATCAATAACTCATACTTTCAACTATATGATTAGTAATCTATCGAAAAAAAATTGTTAAATGCCAAATAAACTAAATCTTGAGTTACTCAATGTCACAACAACAATATGAATAAATATAAACTTTGGATAGTTGAAGGTAGTTGACTGAAGGAAAAAAGACTTCATATTTGAAAAAAAAACATTAATAACTGGAATTGAATAGAAACAGGAAGGGAGTATTTAATGTCATAGTGTTGCCATAACTACAAGATTAAAAAAGCCTGGCGAAATTATGAAGCTAAAAAGTAGGACTTTGTTTATTTGTATCTAGCAAGTATACATGCACGAGTTGTGTGTGTTTATAGGGAGAAGGTCAGTTATCATATTACTGAACATTTTAGTTATCATGAGCGTTTATAATAAGTTATTCTATATTAAATTATTTATTTTAATTCTGTAATAACAGAATGTAACGGTTGTGACAAGATGACCTGCTATATAATGACCTCATGTTCCAAATTACGAGTGTTTAACATTTAATTTCTAACTGATGAACAACGTCTCAATAAGATCTAGACAGTATATTTGGTTATGATTGTGTTCTGTATTATTTTAAACAGATGATCAGCGATATTAAATCGATGGAAATTCTCATAACTACACTTTGTTATAAATGCTGTTAGATCGTACGTAATCTATAGCTGCGGTAATAAAATTCACAAATTTATATATGCATAATAAGGTATGTAGTAAAACTGTAAAAATGGTAACGAGTAAGTTGATGAGTATAATGACAATGTCTTCTATTATGTAAGTTTTAATAGTACCCAGTATTAATGATAATAATTGCAGTTTTAATCTTATTTTGTAAATATCCCAACCTTCAATGAGAAATATATTGAACGACATAAAGGATAAACTTTATCGACAAGTGTTGAATAGCACGAAAACTAGGTTAGGAACTTCCTTACCACTCAACATTACATAAAGTCAGCCTTGTGATCATATGGTAAATAAATCAATAAAAGTCGATCAACATTAAGCGTCAGACAAACGTAACATTACTAATCGGAGATCAACTATTTGTAAATATTTCTATCTATCAGTTATAGCCCAATCAGCTAAATACTGACAACTATGAAGATGATATTGAGTAGAGTGGCTTCGTATCTCATGAGAAGTTTCATTTCTTCTCATACGATTGAAGATACATTTGCCGATGATCGTAAACTGGCAGAAAACTTAGGTCTAGGAGTTTCTTTTGTTTAATTTCAATTATCGCTTATTAATACTGAATACGAAAACACCATCTACAGTATAAACTGTATAACAAGAGGAAATAACTTCATTTATTCCTTTAACAACTGTATTCTATTTTCCGGTCAAACACATACTTTACAGTTTATATGAAGTAAAATTCAGATTTTAGTAAGTTACTGAGATGAATTCTTAATTTTCATGAACAATCAATAAGAAAAGCTTTTTTTATTGGTTCCAGTGACAATTTATGATTTCCATATTGTCTCGTAGTTGATACTGAACAAGATTTCAGTTGTAATACAGTTTTTTCCAAACAGAAGTTAAAAACTCAAAAAAAACCCAGTTCTGTCTTTATAGTAGCACTCGATGGCCTAAGGACACAACAAAGAAAACTAAACATGACAACAGTCAATCAGATGAAAGCAAAGGTCATTGTGGGAATATGAGAGGGTGGAGAAGGGTTGTTGCACAGGTGGATGATTTTGATAAAGTTTTGTTCTCTGAGCTTCAGGTACCTGAAGTTTGTGCTGATGATGTCGTTCAGAATAACGACGAAACCTCTACGCCCAAGCCATCCAGCTCACAGAACAAAACTCTATCAATATTGTGGGAATATGAATCGGGAAATTGTATCGAGGTTAATTAACACGTAGTAACGGAACACTAGATAAACTGAACTCCTTTTGGCGCTATCATCAAGTTTCTTAACATCAAATCAATCCTATTGTATTAGTTTAGTAAAAAAATTATTGGTTAAATGAAAAGAATAAGTAAGTAATCCTAATTTTAAAAAAGTATAAAATGGATCAGTTTTGTTTCATATTGTATCGCCGTAACTTATGCAGTTAACATTCTTAGATTGTGCCATATCTGCCAAAATGTGAGCATGTAATCTCTGCATACTGAATGATCCACTTGTTAAGAATAAAACATATATCTTCTTTTCATGTAAAATATTATTCACTAGTAATATATTATTGAGTAAACAAATAATCTGATGCAGTTAGATTAATGCATCGCTATTATGCATTATTTCATCTTCTATACTTCCTAATATACTTGGGAGATATTCGAGAAATCCATACTACTACTACTACTACTACTACTACTACTACTACTACTACTACTACTACTACTACTACTACTACTACTACTACTACTACTACTACTACTACTACTACTACTACTACTACTACTACTACTACTACTACTACTACTACTACTACTACTACTACTGCTACTACTCCGACTTCTATTGCGACTAATAATGATGAAGCTTACCACAATTTCCTACTGAAAATTACTTTTCAAATGTATGAAATAAATAATTGTTAAGTTGTGCAGTATGTGTATAATAATCTAGTCAAAAAGTGACTTGAAAAATAGAGATTTAAGGAAATTTATTCTGATATCATTCAATAGAATATTCATCAATGTATGTAGTTACAGTTGGCTTATATATTATGTCATTATAATGTTAAGGTAATATAACTATGTTTCTGTAAAAATATAGATTATGTAATGATGAACTTCAGAGAGTTGAATATGAATATAATGGACTGTATGACGTAAGTAAAGTAAAATATTTCATGGACCCCTTTAATTAGTTCCATCGAGTTCGGCTTTTAGTGGGAGTGGGGTAGAGAATAGATAATAAAATCATGGAGTTCATGTTAGAATGGATTGGTTAACAAGAGACCTGGTAGAACTATTATCCCATGTGTAGTTCAAATCTTTACGATATTGTAAAAGCAAATGGTTTTATGGACTCAGTAGCTGAGTGGATAATGCGGTGGCATCTGAAGCGAGTGGTATTGGTCTCGAACCCCGGGGCGGACATCAACTCGGATGCAGGTATATCCCGCTGACGAGTCTCATGTGGGACGAAACACGGCATGAATACCACTACTAGATATATCCCATCTATTATATGTGATATTGGTCGGTTTTCAGTAATTAATCATTGGAACAATGTTGTCAGTCTATATGGACAAGGAATATTGTTCTACTTTTCTATGTGAAGATGGTTATTAATCTAACTGTAATTTATAGCAGTATATTCGATCTCCCTCAGATTATTAGAACCAAATCAGATAAAGTGTTCAAAACTTTTGGTTATGATTTATCTATCTTTTAATAACTTAGTATTATTTTGATTTAAAAATGCCGTGAATTTTTTTGGAAGTACAATAGGGTGGTGACGATAATTATAATCGATTGTCTTAAACCATTCTCTTCCCCCTTTCTTTGTGCAGAAATGAAAGATACACAAGGAAATGACTATTTTCAATGACTGATGTTGAAATCAAATATGGATAGTGTCTGGCAGCAGAATCCAGGACGTGTGGTTCGTCCTATTTGGAACTCGTCAGTTGGATGTGCCTGCATTTCAGAGTTGATGTTCAACCTTGAACTTGTGAATTAAAACAATATTGAGGCAATACGCAGAGTGTGCACATATGCCAACAAGATACTGATCAACTGAAGTCCTAAACATCAATGGAATAACTCAAGTAAACAACACTTTACGTAGAATTGAACTACTTCATTATTTCACACAAGATAAATCATTCTATTCCAATGACATTGTCTAAAAATTATAGTTTCGGAGCCTGTGTCATCTTTATTACATTTCTGTTGACTATCCTGTTTTATTAGCCTCTAACCATCGAATTGGTTGACTGTTCATGTGCGGATTAGTAAATGAAGTTCATATTGATATACCTATTATTATGGATTAATCAGATCTTCATGTTGTTTTTTTCAAAAATTTTCTGATATGCTGTACATGACCCCATCTGCAATTTTAACATTTTTCTATTCAAATCTGTATCAATGCTTATCTGTATTTATTGGTAGGACTGATAACGTCTCATGTTGTTGGTTTTATTTTCCAGCTTGCCGATACACTGCCATCACATACTTTCTCAAGAAAAGAATCCACTATCAAAGTGATCTTCAACGAAATTTTATTACTGTTCAATATACAATAAAATGTTTCGTTTACTATCTACAGAGTTTCGTCAGTTATTAAAACTATGAGCATATCCTTGACTTTGATCTTATCAAGAATTAATTTTTCACGTGATGATTACATATCATATATATAGCATTTGCATTACTTGTTTGAATATTTCGACTGATGTTCAGGACTGCAATTAATCAGTCCATTTTTCGGCAAATATGCATCCTGTGCGGATCGCCTCGATACTGCCAGTAAGTCACAAGGATTCTAAGTGGAGATGGCTGGTGGCTAGCAGTGGAATCATGGATGCGCATTCAAAGCGGACGGTTCTGAGTTTGATTCCAGAATTGAGAACTACCTACGGGATGCTGACGAGTCTTGAATAGGACGAAAGGTATGTCCTAGTTTTTCCTGCTAGCCACCATCCACATCTTATGTTACCTAAAGATTTTAAGCACTCCAAGTCTATCTTGTATGGATAAGTGCATAGGAAGTGCTAAATAGTCTCGGACTGTATTAAAATAAATGTTCGAACGTACCTGGTTATTAGTGAATTCTCCAGCTTTAGTCTTCCTGTGACGAAAACTACCGTGAAACTCAAGGTATTTCTCAGCAACTCTAACAATTTTCATGTTAAGTAATTAATTGTAGGTCAGCTTTTGGTGTTAATAAAGCTTTCAGAATATGACATTTAAAATATTAGATTATAATGCATTTCATACAACAAGATAAGCGTAATCTAACAGAACTTATTCTGTTTTCATACGTAGTTAGTAGGTTAATCTAGATTTAAACATTCTTTTTTTTCTCAAATTATATTTAGTGTTGCTCAATTCATTTAAGGAATAAACTTCATTTTCTTTAATTGGCTCTAATACATTATTCATTAATTATGTATATTTGTTGATTTTGCTTAAGATCTATTGCCATACAGTGTATTATCGAATTAGTTTACATGTAGGCATATACACATGCACACACATACACACAAACAAATACGAAATATAAACTTATTTGTCTATTGTAAATGAACTAATCTCTAACTTTGTTTTACGTATGTTTTATATCTAGGTTACTGTTGGCCAGTAAACAAATTTCTTAGTTTCCTGTTAACAATATAAAGAGAATTGCAAGTTATTTTTAATCAACATTCATTGATTATCATTAGGGCTATGAATTCAGTTGTGCGTTTTAATTCAAAATAACTTCTAAGCAATAATTTTTATGTTTAAGTTTACCAAAACCACAGACAATGAAGATCTATTTACATAATTTTATATCTAAATTCATTGGAATAAATATTTGAATCAATTAGAATAGGTGAAATGGAAGATAGTCGTTTTTTACTTCTTTAAATTGATTAATCCTTGCATAAATTTCAGATTCAAGGTACCAATTTGCTTATCTTGGAATTTAAATGGACTCTGATGTATTGGTATCTGACGAAACTTCAACTAAGAATTAGAATGTCCAACTAGCTTTGGCCAACTTGAGTCACTTGTGGCGTAGGTAAGTTGTCTGGCTATCAAATACAGGACGAGTATACTGTTCAGTAGTTCGTTCTGTTCTACTTAATGGCTGTGAAACGTAACATGAAAAAATAGTGAATATTTGCGGGTTACTGGTGTTTAATCATAGATGTCCTCGAATCATTGATAGAGCTTTCTCGGGAACAAGCTAACAATGGTTATATTAAATGTATGGTAGCAGGTAAAGGTTGAAGATTGGTTGATGAGGTCTGAAGAATTGGCTTACATTAAGTCATGAAAAGTCAAAAATACAATTTTTTCTACTCAGTGGGATGTAACAAAAATATATTTATTATGAAATCACTACCTAATGCTTAATTTATTTGAAACTATCAAGTCCAACCTATAAATAATCCTGGTAGATGTATTTTTTTGGGGATTACTTTTAATCTAATTTCTTAATCTACATGGAAAATCGTTTCTCTTTTGCCAACGTAATCACTGTTGTTGATGTATTTGAATTGTTTTATTTGATAAGTTAACTTTATTATAGACATTTTATTTCAAACTAAATGACTTATGAGAATGATTGTTTAGCTGGTTTAACTCTATTCATTAACTTACTAAAGTATCACAGTTCGTAGTAGTAGTAATAGTAGTCTCTCATCAGGATGGTCATACCCTTTCCTGAGCCCTTCGTCATGAACGATTGCAGACTCCAATGAAACTAAACTTTATTATCGTCGTTGCTATCATTGGTGGGTGCATAACATTGGATAACATTCATTGTGATTCGCTATTTCTTTGCTTTGAAAGATGCTTCGATGATCCTGGACCCATGGAATTCCTATTCTACAAGTGCTTTACGTGCTTCTTTTGATAGAATTAAAGCAACTCCCTGAGTGTGTGGAGCATTTTCTTTTTCGTACAGCAGCATCTCTCCCTAGTCCGTTCTTTTTTTTACCAACCTGAGTCCAATGGTTTTCACTTATTCCGAGAGCCACCAAATTGTGTTTCCTTATTCCCGTAGCTTTTTTGGTCTTCCTTCGGGAGGGGCATTAGCGTCGTCACTTCTGAAGGATCTCGGGTTTCACCATAAGGCGTCGTAATTCTTCTAAGTGAAGATCCTTCAACAGGGAGGGCGGAGCGTAAATGGTTTGAACTTTTTATTGTGGTTACCATTTTTTCACAAGGTTGATTTTTACGACATGAGATTACTGACCCCATGCCCAACTCTCCACCTTTATCCGTGCTTCGGACCGGCAGTAACAATAGAAGGGCTACAGGCGGAGTTTGACTAAACATAGTGGATGTAAATACATCTGTGAGTAGCAAAACCGACTTTATTCAGTGACAAGTAGGTTTTTGTTGAATTGGTAAAACTCTCGCTCCTACTTAAAACAGGCTCTGTCGATGTTGTTAAAAACAAAAATGAAAACTTTTTTCGTTGAACCATTTATCCCAGAGAATAAGTCATCACTATCCATAATAGCTACATTTCAATATGTATACTTAATTGTCTGGACAAGTGTTTGACCTAAATAATTTTTAATAATTGAATTTAGTGTTATTACTGAATTCTTTAAAGATACACTGATCAATAATTTTTCAATAATCAAGTCAATAATCAATTATAATCATTGTAATATTCCTTATATAAAATAAATTTCAAATCAATATCAATTAATGATTTTCATGTCCGGTTTCAAATCGATTATAATTAAAAAGTGGACAAATTTAATTGATTAATTAAGTAAATAATTCAGAGTTGCCTTGCTAAATCCCATTTTGTTGGAATACAAAATGAACGATATGATTTTTTTAGTTCATGTGACAGTATTTATTGTATGATTAAATTGTAATAGAAATTTGTTTGTTTGTTTATTTGTTTGTAGTTACTT